AACCCTGAATCCTGACCCCTAAACCCAAAGCCCTGACCCTAAACCCTGAAACCCTAAGAACTCCAAAGCCCTGAGCCTAAAGCGGATGCCCCACCTGAGGGAAGGGATCCCACAGTCTCGGCGACACGCACCCGTGGATCTATCCTGGAGGTTGCTGAAGGGTTTAGGGACTAGGATTTAGGGTGCTTTCTGGCTTCAGGGATCTGGGGCTTAGGATTTTCGAGGGCGCAAGACTGCGCAGCAAAGTCTCATGCCTCCAGCATGAAACATGGCGGTGACCTACGTAGTTTTGCGTCACGGTTCCTGACACAATGAGTATCCTACTGTGGGGTCCCGTATTTCCTGCAACTCAAAAAAGAGAAGTAAGCCGCATTGGCTGGTGGCCAAAGTGCCTCAGGATGGCCGAAGCCAAGATCGGCAAGGCAAAGATTACCTTGGATAGCTCTGTTTTGGTTTATTGCCTATAGGGTCTAAGGTTTAGGGAAAGCTCTGTTCCGTCTGCACGCAGTACGGCTTTGGCAGTTTGGATCTTTTGTCTCAGGGCGTGAAGGGTCTGATGTCCTACAGGGGCTCGAAAGCGAAGCTTAAGGAAAGCAAAGCTTAAGGTTTACAGGGCACATGGTTTTGGAGCCTCAATAAGGTTAGAGGGATAAGGCATATCATATTGGTCTCCCTGTTTTGCGTCAATTATACGTACATGCAAAGGCGCGGCTGTGGTCTCAAAGGCTTTAGAGGCTCAAGTGCCGATGTGGCACTCCATCTCCATTCGCAGCAGCATTGCGCCACTTCGCCACGTCAACAGGAAAGTGTCCGAAGGAAGCCAGGGAATCCGTCAAAGTCTGTACACATGTGACCTCAGTCGGGGTTTGCTGAACTCTTGAAGCACAACGGCACTAAAGCATGTTTGATACCTCGCACTGACCGTTTTAGCCAAGGCTTCCACTCAACAAAAGCTTATTGGTCCATACCCGGCCACAGCAATGACATACTGCCTTACCTTCGGGTCGGCTCTCTCGGACTCTCAGGCAGTTGGCAAAACTAAGCTGTTGCAGAATCCAGAGACAAACTACACACTGTATTACATCTATACCCTATACCCTAAACCCTATAGACCCTGTACCCTAAACCGTTAATCCAGATACAGACAAATCCCCACCCGCCTGTTCACCCGGAAAACCTGAAGCCTCGAATCTGCGACCTTTCGACCTTACCACCAAGCCCAACCTGCAAAATATCCAAGACCAGCTACCGCAGGAGCTCTGAATCCTGTATGGGTCCTAAACAGTAAACACCCATATAAACCCTCAACCCTGAAACCCCAAACCGTTTTGCCTCCAGGCCTCCTCTGAATGTGCTACCCTAAACCTTAAAACCCTAAACCCCAGCCCCAACTCCCCGGAAACTCCTAACCCGGAAGCCTCTGTAGCAGCCCATGGGATGCCACAAACGTACCCACCAGCTCGCACGGAGAAACCATACCTTGGCTTCCAGGGTTTAAGTCAGGAATCCGTCCTCAATTGTGTAGGCACTCATTCTCACTATTCTGGTTCAAGAAATACTTGAAAGTCTGGGATTTTCCTTGGACTCTAGGACTCTGGGGCGTAGGAATGCGCAGGACCTATAAAACTGCAGGAGTCTTGATATGTTTTTTTTTACCGGAGCTAACAGATCTTGCGAGGGGCTCAGAAAATTTCAGGATGGCAAGATTTTAGGGTTTGGCGCCTGCTTGAAACGGGGGCTCCCACATGCACGCATTTTGTACATGGCATATAAATACGCATAAACCTATACTTATATTTGTCTACTTTGTCTACATGTTTATTCACATATGTATTGTATACCTGAATAATGTTATGTATATAGATATATACATATTTATGTGCGTGTGTAAGTGTGTTGTATAACTGCATAATATGGTAAATACATGTGTATACAGATATGCCTCTGTGTATTTGTATGTGTTGAATAACTGTTTAATAAAATATATACGCATGTACATATATGAATCATAAACATACATATATATATATATATGTCAACATATTTGTCTACACGTAAATAGTTGTCTCTTCGTGTGTGTGCTAGTCTGTTGAGGCATTGATTGAATTAAACAAGGGGACAGTAAGATGAATATATAATTTGGGCACTCTAGCGCATCAAGCGCCTGAAACTCATCTTAGACGGTATTTCTGCTATTCCGTTATCGCCATTAGTAAAGTCATTATGCAAACACTACCTCCTCCTCCTCCTACAGCTTCTACTACTACGACTACTCCTGCTAGTGCCCCTGTTGCTACAAGTATTTTTGCCTCCGGCATTGCTGAGCGAATCAATCATATAGGTCTGGCGCTCGAGACTCGAGACTCGCCCAGCTGTGCAGCCGGAGCTCCGAACAGCCCACCACTCACGAAGTGAGACAGATACCAATCAAGCTACAGAGGGATGCTTAGTTACTTTGATTGACAGCATTTTGCTCAGCTTAGCAGCAATACGTGCTCTAGGCACTGAGTGCGAATTTCCGGCTGCAGCTGCGGGCAGAGTTGCTTACCCTCGGGAGTCGTGGACAAAGATCCCAGCAGCGACACTTTGCTGGTCGTGGGCCTGGACGTGGCTGGGAAGGTTCCACGGAAATGACAATGCGAGAGGACTCTTGATGTGGACATCTGAACCACGTTATGTGGTTCGACGAAACATAACGACTCTTGTAAACGTATACGGCCTGAGCTGGTGAGGATCGGTGGTCTACACGATCAGTATTTCCGATCTATCCCCAAACCCAATATTGGAACCAAATCTCAAAAATCCAAGCCCCAATCAACCCTAAACCCCAAAACCCTAACAACAAACCCTAAACCCGGAAGCGCTAAACTCTAAACCCTCCCATACCGGAACTGATGTGACCAAAGAGCTGAATCCGCAGCACGCGATCCGCTTGCCATGGCATGGCGTAGATTTCGCCTCCTTGGCTCACGGCCGCGTGCCTCAGACGGGAGGTTTTTCGGTTTAGGGTTGGGTTTAGGGTTTAGGGTTTAGGGTTTAGGGTTTAGGGTTTAGGGCTAAATTCTACCGCAGAGGTGGTCTAAGATTTCGTGAGTCCGACGTCGCTTGAGCCTTTGAGACCACTTGCATCAGACTTATGTATAGAACTGTTGAGAGTAGCATGGTAGGTAGATAGCAGACAAGGGCCCAGGTAGCTGATCGCATCTCGCATGCCTGCGGCACGCAACATGCCTCATCAATTTTTTAGGAGCCTGAGACACTGGACCACAGTCAACCCCGTTTAAGGTTTCGGGTATTGAAGGAAACCCCCTACCCTCCTTGGAATTCTTGCCCCGTTCATGCTCGCGGTCCGGGTCGATGACTTAAGGGCCTGAGGTAAGGTCCCTTGATGTTCCTTATTTCCCAAATTCAGCCCTAAGCCCTAGCCCCTAAACGGTACGGCCTCCTGCCTCCCCTCGGCCCTGGAGACCTTGCAACAACTCACATTTTGCGGAGGTTTCTCAGCATTCGTGCCCATTCGTACTCCGGACTTTTATTCCAGGATCACACTGCTTAGAGCTGGGGTCCCTCACCTTCCAAAACTCCCATGCCGCGAAACTGCGTATCTTGAAATCCCACCACAAGTCCTGACATCCTCAACCTAACGCCCCAAACCACACACGGGCCCATTATTTCTCCCAGCCGTGTGTCATGAACCTGCGTCTTCATAGGAACAGCTTGAGGAGGCTAACTTCATCTTTCTGGAGAGCCCTTATGAAGACCTGGGCACGGCTGCTAAACAAAATTGGCCCTCAGCAAACTCCACAGCCAGGAAAAGAAGCCTAACATCCAAAAACACCGTCAGGGGTCCCCAAAGTTTTCAGAAACCCTCCCAGCCCATCTCCTGTACTCTCCCATGCCCTGAACCCCGAAGCTCAAAGCCACTGAACCCCAAACCCAAGACCACTTTTAATACTGGGCTCACGTCGAAAGCCAAAATCCCAAACCCAGAAGCCCCAGTTCACCGAAACAGCGGTCCAGCTCCCCGAAAGTCACCATGTTCCCAGAAGCCCCCCCCCCCCCACCTCCACTTACATGAGAGCAAGCCGAGGTCGGGTCCAACGTCCCTCGGACGGATCGGGCTTGGGGCTGGGTTTAGGGCCTGGCGAGGTTCCAAGTACGGCTTCGGGTTTTTGCATCCTACTTAGCAAGGACGTGCCCGCATTGGGGTCTAGGGTTTAGGGTTTAGGGGGTTTGGGCTTAGGGGCTGCTTTCTGGGCTGGTGCCTTTTAGGTCTTGGGCTTGGCATGGTACGGTAGCGCTGTCGGGTTGAAGTTTTGGGGGGATTGTCGATTTTGCGTTTTTGAGTGTATCGGGGTGTTGGGAAAGGTTCTGAGTGGCCGCTGTCTTTATATACAACAGTCCTCAGCTTTCCAGTCCAATCGAACTGAAGGGACTTAGGTTTAACACACAACACGGTCAACACATAAGTTTCGACCCCAGCCTCTAAATCCTGCCCTCCACCTAAAACACGAAGCCCTAAGCCCACACATCCCTAAACCACGGTTTCACCTCGCAGAGCTGTAGAAGACAGGCGTCTGCGAAGCACCGGAAGTCGGCGAAAGCTGAAGAACATGCCGGGCCTGAGTGAAGCAAGGTATATGGTGGGGTTTCCAAAAAATACGGGACCCTAATATAGTACCCCAAAATAGAAGGATCCTTATTCTAAGGACCCAAAGTAAGGTACCCCTTATGTTCGGAAACTCCCAGAAAGACCTTGGGGATTCTCGCTTGGGGCGATCGAGGGGTCAGGGTTGGGTTCAAGCGTCGAGGATCTAGAACCCTAGGGTTTCGGGACTCGGGTATATAGTCATACTAAAATGCTCCATCAAACAGTGGAGTTTTCGTAGTCTTCTGTCTATGGTCAGGTACCTGAGACCCTAAACTCTAAACCCTAAGCCCTCACATAAGAACTTAAGTGTTGGGATGTTGGGCTCGGCTTTCAGGGTTTCCTGCTCATGGTGCATGCGCGTAACCGATTACGAAAGCAGGGAGCCATGTTTCTTCTAGTGCTGTCACTGCCTCCTTCTTCATACCGAATAACTTCTCCCCTTAAACCCGAACCCCTAAAACCCTACGTCTCACACTGCAGCGATGCAGTGCAATATGCAGTTGAACACACACACTTCGCCTCGAGGTCAAACAGGTTCAGAGCTTCAGCTTTTTAGGTCTTGTTGCTTTTACAGATTAGGGTGCCTTTTTTCGGGGTCCTTATAATGAGGATCCTTCTTTTTGGGTGGTACTATATTAGGGTTAAGGGTTTAGGGTCAACCCTAAACCCTAAACCCTAAATCCTAAACCCTAAAAGGGTTTTAGGGAGGCCAGCTCAGTCACGACCGGCTCGCAAGAGAGATGGGGAAAGCTGTTTATAAAGGCCTCCGGCGTCTGCAAAGGCTTCTTTCCCTGATGTTCCACTTTGACGGAATTCCTATATGAGTTTCTCGGTGCCACAGTTTATACATATATATATATATACACACACATAAAAATACATATATATATATATATATACACGTGTACATATATATATATATACATATATATATATATAGACATATGTATGTGTATATATATATATATATATATATGTGTATATATACATATATACATATACATATATTCAGCGAGACAGTCGACACACATACATATACATATATATATATACATACATATATACATACATACATACATACATACATACATACATACATACACGTACATATACAGATGTGTATAGACACAAAAAGACAGTGTGTGTTCATGTTTACATACATGTTTTTCGAAGGCGCAAATTCACCGTTAGCACCAGCCGTTGTGGAGGTGGACGGTATGGAACATCAGAAGCAAACAGAAATGACCTAAATAGAAACGACCACAAGAGGAGGTTGCTTAGGATAGAATTAAACTGGCAAGTACCGATCGGGGGCTCGGGTCTCGTGTACTCGGTGGGGATACAGGGAGACACACCCTCTCTGGAGGCCAGCAGCGAGAGAGCCCACATAACCAAGGGATGACTCTCCGAAACCAGTTTGAAGAGTGTCTTGCGCAGAAGGACACATAATCTAAGTGGTATCAATATTATAAGTGGAACGCGGCAGCGATGATTCGAGTCATGGCCAGCTTCAACGGAGCATAGGAGAAAGAGGAGGTAACATAGACCGACCCCCTAACGGCCCGTGAGAACAAACTTTACCAGCGGGAAACACCATATCCAGAGTTGAAGTCGATAAGCCAGCGTGAAATGGAGCGGCCAATCCATAGCAGAACGAGAGGACTAAGGAAGACAGCGAGCTGTACTCCGGCCTTAGTTGCATACATAAGTATCTATATATGTACATATATACATATATATATATATATATATAAACATGAACAGATCGGGCGTGCCCGTATATAGCTCTATATATATATATATTTATTTATTTACTTATTTATTTATTTATTTATGTATTTATAGAGAGAGAGAGAGGGAGATATGATTATGCCTCTGCGGCAGGCACGCGCAAGCCGACCTACTCATCAAGCCAGGCTAATCCTCCTAGCGAGGCCAGTTATTCAGAACATGATGTGTTTTTGCCGTTCCAACACAAGTTCGTTCTTCTGTGGGATGTGATGCAGCTTGTCTGTAGGGTTTGAACGACGTAAAGACTCTTAAAATTGGGGGGGCCGCGTCATTTAGGGGTCTCTGTGGACAATCTCAGCTGCAGGCTGTCAGTAGATACTTGGAGGTTCACGGGTAGTTATAAGTGGAGCTATAGGTCCCCTAATATAGCTTATAACTAGAGTTACCTTCCGTAAAACCCTACGTATAACTACCCGTGAACCTCCAAGTAATTAATCAAGGAAGATCCTTCTGGTTGTCTCTGCCAGTCTCTTGCGGAACCCTAACCCTAAACCCTAAACCCTAAAGCCAACCTAGCACCCAAATTTCGAAATCTGAAACCCCCTAAACCCATGAAATCCGAAACCCTAAACCCTAAACCCTCAACCCCATTGCTAAAAAAAACCGACCTAAACCCTAAATCCGAAACCCTAAACCCAAAACCCAGGCCTGAAACCCTAAAGTTGGCAAGCCTTGACGAAGGCGGCAACATTGAAGTCTGGCTTCCGAAAGGCATCCAACAGACCACTGCTGCCCCCGCCGGCGGCTGGCATCCTCTCTTAAAGCCTGAAAACACCCGAAACCACCCTAAACTTCAACCCACCCTTAACCCCTAACCCTAAACCGTTCAACGCCGTACTTCGGGCTGTTTATTCCGACCCTGGGGCCAGGATTGCAGAACCCCGAGACCTATGGAGACTTAGTCTTTCAAGGCTCTGACAGGCCCAAAGCTTCCTCCATGCTGCACCTCAAAATCCCTGACCCCGAAACGTCTGCAGCTAGGAGCCATCAAAAAGAGGCAGTGATGGAAGAGACGTGCAAATCATGCCCGGACACTGAGAGCCAGAAACCACAGGCCCTGCAGCCCGAAGCCCCAAAACCCGAACGACCCCTTCTCAAAATCAAGAGCTCCGTGCGCACGCGCATGCTGGTTTTTGAAATCAAGCTCAGAACACTCGGCAACCTTAGGGGCTGAGGGCTTGAGGTTCAGGGTCTCAGCGGAGCTTCAGGTCATGTTCTACTTTCAACCTGCTAAAGAGCCGGCATCGTACAGCATCACCGTTCTCTGAAAGTTCTGCTGCGCAAATCGATGTGTGCAGTCTCCTAGACTTTTGATGCACGGAGGATGGAGCACGTCTGTTGGATCCTCCCGAGAAAGGAAGGAAATTGCCAGCGGCTCGCGCCGCTGGTGTTCAAAAACAGAGGTTGGACGGGGACGTCGCCAATCCAGTCAGTCGTATTCATTACTAGTCCGTGAAGATCTCTTACAGCTCTAGATGTGCCCGATCATCTTCATATTGGCTTTCAGAAATACTCCAGAGAAAGGACGCAGGATTCCAGATTGGACTGTCTAAGGCCTAACCGTGTACCCTGCAGCCCACCCTGAGCCCGCAAACGTTGCCCTAACTCCAGACCCCAAACCCGGAATTCTAAACTCTAGCCCTAAACCCCCCACCATCCAGAGACCTAACCCTGAGCCCTCATCCCGAAACTTAAAACTCGGACAGGAACCTTCACAGAACCCCTGAAAATGAAACCTCAATGCAACCCTTGCAGCAACCCTTTCGACAATCCCAATCAAGACAGCTAAGGGCTTACGCTTTGGGTCCTAGGGTTTTAAGATTTAGGGGTTCAGTTGGTTTAGGGGAAAAAGGCTGAATATAGAGGCCTCAATACAGCCTGTAGTAGTATAGCTAGCCTAAGGAAGCCTATTAAAAATGACATCGTTAATTATCGAGGCTCCTATGTAGATTAAACCCTAAAACCCCTTGTAGAACCCTGCTTGGAGGTTCATGGGTAGTTATAAGTGGAGTTATAAGTCCCCTAATATAGGTCAAAACTGTAGTTACCCTACTTATAACTCCACTTATAACTACCCATGAACCTCCAAGTTGTAGAACCCTGGAAGGAAGAGACACACGGCCAGCCGCCTGGTCGATGACATCCTCAGCATCGCGCGCGGCGATCTCTTCCAATTCTTGCGCCGACATGCTGCCTTTCGGGCCTGGGGTGATGGTTTAGGGTTTAGGGTTTAGGGTTTAGGGGGGTATTGAAGCCGAATGCAAAGGGATAGGGTACCCTAAACCCCAAGCTTACGATTCAGGGATTTGGTAAGGCTTAGGGTTTACGCGGCCTTACCGGCCTTCCGCTTATCCCTAAACCCTAAACCCTAAACCCTAAACCCTAAACAATAAACCCTAAACCCTAAACCCTAAACCCTACTCCTGAAGCCCAAGACTCTGAACTCGAAACCCCGTTGCTCAGCCATCCCCTTCCGGCAAGTTCGTATTAGGTGCCTTGAAGGCTTAGAGCAGTAAGGTTCAGGGCTCAATATAGGAGTCTTAATAATCAGAATAGAGTTTTGTGGCCTATTGTACTATAAATATAAATTGGGAGCCCCCACAATAACATAGGTAATTACTAATTATTAATTATCAGTATTAGTATGATTATTAAGGCCCCTACATTAGGGGTTCAAGGCTCAGGGTTCTGGAGTCCTAGGCGGGGCTTCAGGGCTTGACTTCCGCAGGCAAGTTCCGAAAACCCTGAATGCTGGTTCTTACTTGGAGGTTCATGGGTAGTTATAAGTGGAGTTATATATTAGGGGACTTACAACTCCACGTATAACTACCCATGAACCTCCAAGTACCCCTGTAAATCTTAAGACCAAGTTGTTCCGATTTGAAGGCTCAGGATGCGGTTCTTTCTCTCAAAACATCTGTGTGTGAATGCGGTATATACCTTACTATACATGCTGCCACGTACGGCAGATACGTACGCAACATATAAAAATATATATTAATATATATATATATATATATGTGTGTATATATATATATACATCTACATCTACATCTACATCTACATCTACATCTACATCTACATCTACATCTCTCTATCCATATGCATATCCACATACATATGCGTAGACATAAACGTATTTACACACACATGTATATACACACATACTTATGCATATGC